TCGTCAGTTTGATGTTTCCGTTTTCTAATAACAGGTGTCGAATTTCGCTTCACATTATCAACTCTGTTTTGAAGTTGCTTTACCACAGAATCATAGCCAGTTCCAACAATGTCTCCTTCGATAACATCTTGCAGTGAAAGAGGATATTTAGCAACCATTTTTTTCCCGACCTCGATTGAATGTTTCTTTCCTACCCGGGAGCATTTGGTAGTCATCTCTCGAACAACAATGCGGACCATCTCCTTTCTTAGGCGAGGGCTTGGTCTCTTTCCCCTCTCGAGGCACTGCATAAGTTCCTCCGGAAATTTACTCCATGGAATTTCAAAGTTGTCCATCCACTGTGCAGCAGATCTTGGGCTGCTAGAAGAGGTAGATGAGGAACTTCGGGGTGACACAGAGAGCAATGACAATGATGGGGATGGTGAAGGTGATGGTGAGGGTGAGGCCGCAATTGAGGATTGAGAGCTGTTCTCTGGAGTCTGACCTGCAAATCATTTAGGGCATAATTATTAGTAAAAAAATTAACACTAATAAAAAGCATTTATGCCCATGTCTGGCCTTGATATGCATACAGTCTAGTATTCAACTTACATTTCAGTTTCCAAGTAGCTTTCGAGCTTGTACAGGTCTCAGAGCAGTCAGCAAATCAGACTCTTCTACAAACTGAAAGTCATCATAGCACTGTACTCCAATTGACTGCAAGTGCTCTTCGAGGATGTCTTTAGATGCTGTTGGTAGGTCAGGTAGGACTTCTCCTATGGCATCTTTTAAGAATGTTTGCTCCGAGTCCATCATTCTTGCATTGAAGGTTAGTTATGCCTACAATTTGGAAAGAAAAAAAAGCATGGAGAAGGGTAACATTGCAGGCAAAACATTTTTACAGCAGCTTTAATGCAAAAGAATTATAATAAATGAAACTGACAATGAATTTAACCCAGATGTGGTTTTAAGATGAAAAGATAAATTTGATTTGATTGCTTCAAATGGACTATTCACTTTTGTTCCATAATTCTGTGTTTCAGTGGAATGACTTGATGCCCAGCTAGAATGTATGATACCAAAGGATAGAAGTCTGCCAGGTCATTAGCATCAACACACTTTAGCCCAACACCGTCTTTTGTCAGAGAATACAGATGGTACTCCGAGTGAAAGTTGCCTTTTCGGATATCCATCAAAAAATACACAGCTGTGTCATTGTGTATAAGGATCAGGAGAAGTTCTCCAAACTCCATATGCTCCTCATTTCTGTAAACAAGAAATTGTCCTTTTTTATACGTAGTGCCTTTGTATTGTACATCTGTAGAAACAGTGGTATTCTCATTAGAAAAGTGAAATTCCTTCACAGCATCTTTAATAGCATCTGCGTAAAGGCTAGGATAAAACACAGAGCTGTCTTTCATTTGCAGTATTTGACTGCATTCCATGCCCAGCTAAAAGGTATGCCTGATACATCTGATGACGTTCAGCTAATGTCTGACAAATGTTTTTGAAGTTCTTTAAGTTTCTGGCACACCTTTTAAAATAGCTGTGTTTGCTTTCGAAGCGCATCGTCCACAATCTTATCAATGGACCAAATTTCAGGAAAAGTGCTGGATAATGCCGCAAAAAGTGGTGTTTAGGTTTGAGTTGAACCTCTGGAAACAACAACTTTCTTGATTCCAAATACTCTTGGATCAAAATCTCAAGATATGCTATCTGGGACAAAGAAATCTTTTGAGCACAGGTCAGATCTACAATGTCCTTCAATTGGAGCGCCAACTGCCAAACTTCCATCTGGATTTTGCACTTTATCACCAACTAATACAGGTAGCAACCTCAGTAAATTCCAATTTTGAATGGCCTGGCCTGAAAGCCTGGACGCATCTGGATTGACAGCACATGGCTTGGTGAGGGCATCAGATCCTTTGTACTTGAACTGTTTAATGCGCCTCTTTAAGATAGTATAAGTGAACCATTTTTTCTTTTTTACCATGTACTTGAGGTACAGAGCAAGATCATAGGACAAGACCCCTTCGAACAAGTCATGACCCAAACAAGGCGGCAGGCCAGGCTGGGCAACATGAAAAGATTCAAGTGAATTAAATACAGAGTTTATCTTTATACCCCTGATGTCTGGAGCGTTTTCAGCCTGAAGCTCAGCAGTTGCTGAGTCGTAAGTCTCTGGAGTACGCACTCGTCCACAGGCATTTGGATCTGCCACAAACTCTGTTCTTTTAACCTCACAGTACCTGCAAAAGTAATGGGAGCGGCTGAAATTCTCAGTAAATCCGCCAATACCATGAGAGCCCAAGTTATCACCAGCAATGCAGTACAGAGCTCCTTTCAATGATTCCCCATCAACTGTTATTCCTTCTGTCTCTAAAGATTTCAGATCTTCCATCAACTCTGAGAACACTTTGGATATTCCAAACCGCTTAAAATCATTCTCAAGGCACAACAAGACGAGAAACATGTGATCAGTGTTTGAACGTACATGGATAGGTAAATTTGCTACAGACACATAAACTGCAAGAATCTTGTGCGTTTTTTTTGCAGACCCCAAGGGATTTACTATTTCAAACGCATCTTGGTATAAAACTAGTTTGAGGCATTTCGGGTTGTTGGTAAAGAACTGGTTGCGTTTGACATTTTGTCCATCACATATATCTGTAAAAAAGTCAGTGTTTGCCTCTCCTGGCTCTGGTGACATGGTAGAGTTTGTCCATAAATCTGACTGTAAAAGGCTTTTCAACGTTTTTGCCACTGGTATATAGTAAGCATATTTTTGAATCATGTGTTCATCAAATCCCAATGACACTTTTTGGGGTTCAGTGTACTTAAACATTTCAGTGAAAGTCTGCCCTCTTGAGTATGTTGTTCTCAGAGGTCCCTGATGACACGCTAAGAACAGATCTGATTCTTTTATGCAGTCACTGATTTTAAGTATAACATCATCTGCAAGCCTCATGTCATTTTTTAACAAGGATGTTACTTTGGCAATTGTGTGGTTCAGCCCTAACTCATGCACATTTTGCATTTCCTCCACAATAGTCTGTACAGTACTGGCCGGAACAAGAAGTTGCCCTTGCAGTTTTAGGTAAAAGAGACTCACATTTTTGAGATAGGACTCGCTATCGATCTCTGGTAAATCAATGGTTTTGGAAGCTGTCGGTATAGCTTCATTTGTGGGTTCTGAAATATTCAAACCACCAATGACACTGGAAGACTGAGGGTTAGCTTCTCGATACATGTCATTTATGTTTTCAGTTGAGCATGCGTTATGCTTGCGAGACATGTGAGACGTAAAAGAGGATTCCTTTGTATAAACCCGTGTACAACCGCGCACAGGGCATGATACAGCTCTGCCTTCGCCAATATGCTCATTTAAATGACACACAAGTTCTTTAACTGTGTGGAAATGGCGCGCACATAGTGCAACTGCACATTTTAAATCAGATACAATAGCCAAAGCGGCCGCATGGGGTGCGGCTGTACTGTGATTGCGATAAAAATGATGCCCCTTAAATCCAGAGTAAGTAGTAAATGTTCGACAAAATTTATCCCCAACACATTTAAATACACAGCGAGGCTCGTTTCTATGTACTCTACAGTGTAATATACATAACCCTTTAGTGTGTGTAATTTCTTCTGACAAAAGGCACAGGTAATCATTTTCAGTCTAGCGTGTGCATTTGTAGCTAACTTAAGCTGCAGCAGTAGGCACTGCGCAGACTCAAACACTTAACAATTTGTGTACATCTTAGTGTTTGCCATTTGAAATTTGCAAACACTAAGATGTGCAATTTCCAAAAATAAGCCTGGCTGGTTTTTTTGTGTGTGCAAAATTCTTTGAATTTGATTACTGTACTCTTCTAACTGTACTCGTTGTGATCAATATGTTCAATAACAACTCAATAAAGTATGGCTGTGTAAAGAGAAAATGACAAGCACAACTTTTTACAATGGCACTTTTTATTTATTTAACCTTTATTCAACACTGTTTGTATTTACTCAATTAATAAATATAATTGGCATTGGCATTTAAGCCTGGAGGTCGTGGGTTCTATTCCCACCCCAACACCCTCTCCACCGATTCCCACTGATGACTGTTGTCGTTGTGTCCTTGTGCAAGACACTTAACCCCTAATTGCCCAAAGCCCCCGCTGAAAGATCAAGGCTATACTCACACTTACGGAGCGAAGGGGTAGATAATGGATGGATAATTCTAATATAAATATATATATATATAGACACATACATAAATATGTATGTATAGTATATATACATATTTATACATGTATATTTTTATTATATATAATTTATATAAATAAATATATATATATATGTATTTATATATATATATATATATATAATATATATAAATTTATATAATGTATATATATATATACATATTTCTACATGTATATTTATATATATATATATATTATATATAATTGAATATGTATATTTATATAAATTATATATATATATATATATATATATATATATATATATATATATATATAAATATACATGTAGAACTATGTATATATGTACAAAAGATTATACGTTTAAGGACCATAGCAAGATTAAGCAAGTCGTGGGCAGTCCTCTCGAGTGGGACCACCACCGGCAGAGGGGGTCCGTGGTGGTTCGGTGCAGCGAGGACAGGGCAGCAGTCGAAGGCGGAGACCTCGGCGATCCAGTCCGCATACCAAACACTACTGGCTCTTGGGACGTGGAACGGCACCTCACTGGGGGCAAGGAGCCCGTGCTCGTGGGGGAGGTTGAGAGATACCCCTTGAGTTAGTCGGCCTCACCTCCACACACAGCTTGGGGCTCTGGAACCTTTCAACTCACACCTCCGGGAGAGCTTCTCCCAGGTCCCGGTGGAGAGGGGGACATTGTGTCTGTGCGGTCCATGTTCTCTTTCTCGTATCACCGATGCGGTGGCCGTAGCTGTGGTCGCAAGGTTTCTGGTGCTGGGTCCCGGCGGCTACCTCCTGTTCCCGGGGGGGGTCTCAACGGCAGGTTGGGTGGAAGGCAGAAGGGGTGATCGTGTGGACTTGCGTGCCAGGAGGGTGCGCCACCCCACCCCCCCCCCCCCACCCCCCACCAACCCACCACCCAGGGGGCTGGGGAGGGCGGGCGGCGCGCCGGCTGGGGGGTTTTTCTTTTTTATTTTTTTTTTTTTTTTGTTTTTTTTTTTTTTTCTTTTTTTTTTTTTTTTTCTTTTTTTTTTTTTTATTGCCCCCCCTGTTTTATTTTTTTTTCATTTTTTTTTTTTCTTTTTTCTCTGTTTTTTAGGGGGTCTTGAGGCAGCTGGCCAGTACGGCAGGCCAAGCTGTGCCGCGACCGGGCTCCTTGCAGAGGCAAAAACCCGGGGATGGGAGGAGTTCGGAGAGTCCATGGATCATGACTATCGGTCGGCCTCGAAGAGATTCTGGCAAACCGTCCGGCGCCTCAGGAGGGGGAAGCAGTTCTTTGCCAACACCGTGTATGGTGCGGGTGGAGAGCTGCGGACCTCGACTGGGGATATTGTCGGGCGGTGGAAGGAATACTTTGAGGTTCTCCTCAATCTCCCCGTCACGTCCTCCATCCCGCAGGCAGAGGCTGAGGATGTTGGGGCAGATACCTCCATCTCCCTGGCTGAGGTCACCAAGGTGGTTGGCAGCCTCCTTGGCGGCAAGGCGCCAGGAGTGGATGAGATCCGTCCTGACTATCTAAAGTCTCTGGATGTTGTGGGACTGTCTTGGCTGACACATCTCTGCAACATCGCGTGGCGATCGGGGGCGGTGCCAATGGAGTGGCGGACCGGGGTGGTGGTCCCTTTCTACAAGAAGGGGGATCGGAGGATGTGTTCAAATTATCGTGGGATAAAACTCCTCAGCCTCCCTGGTAAGGGTATACTCCAAGGTACTGGAGAGGAAGCTACGGCCGATGGTCGAATCTCGGATTCAGGAGGAGCAGTGCGGTTTTCGCCCCGGCCACGGAACACTGGACCAGCTCTACACTCTCCTTTCGGATACTCGAGAGTTCATGGGAGTTCGCCCAACCTGTCCACATGTGCTTTGTGGATTTGGAGAAGGCGTTCGACCGTGTTCCCCGGGGTGTCCTTTCGGGGGTCCTCCGGGAGTATGGGGTCCGGGGTTCTCCGCTGAAGGCCGTCTGGTCCCTGTATGACCGGAGCCAGAGCTGCGTTCGCATTGCCGGCAGTAAGTCAGACCTGTTCCCGGTGCATGTTGACCTCCGCCAAGGCTGCCCTTTGTCACCGGTCTGTTTCACTGTGTTTATGGACAGAATTTCTAGGCGCAGTCAGGGGCCGGAGGGGGTCCGGTTCGGCAACCACAGGATTTCATCTCTGCTGTTTGCGGATGATGTGGTCCTGTTGGCTTCAACGAACCAGGACCTGCAGAATGCACTGGGACGGTTTGCAGCCGAGTGTGAAGCGGCTGGGATGAGAATCAGCACCTCCAAATCCGAGGCCATGGTGCTCGACCGGAAAAAGGTGCCTTGCCCTCTCCGGGTGGGTGGAGTGGTCCTTCCTCAAGTGGAGGATTTCAAGTATCTCGGGGTCTCGTTCACGAGTGAGGGAAGGATGGAGCGTGGGATTGACAGGCGGATCGGTGCAGCGTGCGCAGTGAGGCGGTTGCTGTAACGGACTGTCGTGGTGAAGAGGGAGCCGAGCCGGAAGGCAAAGCTCTCAATTTACCCTCACTCACCTATGGTCATACGCTTTGGGTAATGACCGAAAGAACAAGATCGCGGATACAAGCGGTCGAAATGAGCTTCCTCCGCAGAGTGGCTGCGCGCTCCCTTAGAGATAGGGTGAGGAGCTCAGTCACAAGGGGAGCTCGGAGTAGAGCCGCTGCTTCTCCAAGTCGAGAGGAACCAGTTGAGGTGGCTCGGGCATGTCCCACACCGGGAGGAAGCCCCGGGAAGACCCAGGACACGCTGGAGGGACCATGTCTCTCAGCTGGCCTGGGAACACCTTGTGGTCCCCCCGGACGAGCTGGAGGAGGTGTGTGTGGATAGGGAAGTCTGGCCGTCTCTGCTTAGACTGCTGCCCCCGCGACCCGCAACGGATGAAGCGGAAAAAAGAAAATGGATGGATGGATAGATTACAAGTTTATTGACGACTCAGTACCACAGTGCTATGATAAAGAAAATAATGTAATAATTCATTCTAATCATATTGTAAAAAGTACACCATTACGATGTTAAGTAATTTACAGTTATATTTTGTTTTTTCAAAAATAAATTGATAAAAACTTTACTTTCTACAAACTTTGATTGTCTTCTTGACAAAAATGTCTGATATTACTCAAACAACTCTTTTCTGTTAATCTTACAATGATTTGTATTTTGAACAAGTGATGTAGGTAGAATTCACATATTATTTAGGCTATTTTAACAAAAATACATTGTTTTCTAGAATACTACATTTTATTGTGAATTTTACGTTTAATTGCAGTTTTTGTGTTTACATCTTTATTCTGTTGGTATTTTACAGTATTTTATTGTAAATTCGACAGTCACTTTTTACAACCTGTAGACTTTTAATGAGCTATACCAGCGCATTCCCGAGCGACTTGTGATTGAAGTTGCTCTGTCCAACCCCTCACGTCCCAGACACGCTGAAACACACAGAGAGTGGAAGGTGGTCGCTCTCTGCTCTTTCCTCTGGACACCAGCGGGAGCATCCCTCCAGCGGCGCGCACATGGGTCTGCCTTTGCCTCCTCTGCATCCTCTGCCTCCTCTGCCTCCTCTGCCTCCTCTCTCCTCCTCCGGAACCTGTTGCTGCCTCCCTCTTCCATCAACTGCGTCTCTCCGCGCACTTTCCGCTCTTCTTCGGAACTAACACACTATTCTTTTTTTTAACCATGTCTGGAGAAGAACATTCCAACTCTTCCAATAGCGGCTACTATTTTGACAACACGTCCACCCGGGTTCAAAGTAGGGCGTTTTTCTCACGGCCCGTCTTCGTGATGCTCATGGTGGTGATGGTGACTTTGGTGGTGGTGATAGTTTTGGGAAACGCGCTGGTTATTTTTGCCTTCAAAGTGGACAAGAGCTTGAGGCGGCAATGCAATTACTACTTCCTCAATTTGGCTATTTCAGATTTTCTTGTGGGTAAGTGAAGTCGCACCTTATTCAAATAGTTTCTGACCTTAGACTTTCGGACTGAGACGTGCTCTGAGATGTGCAGCATCTACAAGAATTGGATTTTTGTTTGTGACTATATACTACAACTCTTATTGTCCCCGTTAGTCAATCTAATCATTCCTGTATTGTTCTGCATTTGAGACTTGAGATTGTTCAAAAAAAAATCCCGCATTTACATATTCCCACCCACATTCCAGTGCTTATTATACAACGCAAAAGGATTTGATTAAAATTATGGAGTAAATGTAAACTTCCGTCATATATTATCAAGCTTGTGGATGCATTTTTGATACTGGGATCACAAAGGATTATAGAGATTATTTCAGCCTCTAATTTTATCCACAGGTGATGTTTTAAGACAACCAACATTGCATATAGTCAATTACAACCCAATGCATGCCGTGTTAAAGCTGGGGTACCTAATTGTCAAACCAAAAGAAATGCAACCCATAAATTCCTTGTTTTGAGAGCGAGGACAAAAACAAAACTAGCTTACACATGCATGCATTTTTAGCCTCTTTAGAGAACCTTTTTCAAACAGAACATTTTCAAAGAGAGGACCTCAGAGGACTCAGCCAATCAGCTCTCTCCTCAAAGCATAAGTGACGTACAAGGCTTTTTCTTACAAGTATGCAATAGATAAAATGATTTGTAATGAAAAGAAAACAGCATAACAATTATTTAGGAAAATCCCGAGCTTTAGACAACCGTACATCCTAAGCATCCCTGGGGTTTTTGGTCTTTCCCACTGGTTAAACATGGATCCATAGGCTGTTTTATGGTGTGAGTCTGTATTTGATTTTACTTTTGCACAGGCGCTTTCTGCATCCCCGTGTACATCCCTTACACGCTGACCGGACGATGGACACTTGGACGTGGGATGTGCAAGCTGTGGCTGGTCATGGACTATCTGCTTTGTTCTGCCTCCGCTTTCAACATCGTCCTCATCAGCTATGACCGCTTCCTCTCAGTGACCAGAGCGGTGAGTGAGTTGGGACACAGCAGCATCACTCTGACATACAAAAGTGACATGTGAAAGTTTGAGGCATTTACATATCAATGACATCCATCCACAATGAATCATTCATTTTGCCTGAATGAGAGAGAAGGAGAAGGATGGACAGGGCTGGGTACACTTGTATCAGTATACAGCAGGACAGGACAATTCAGTGGATTTCACTTGGAGAAAAACTATTAGAGCAAGATTAATCAACAGATCAAAGCTGAGAAACGCTGAAGGAAGTTTCAAACCATAAAAAAATAATGTAATAAATCCATATAGTAAGAAGAATAACATGAAACTAAACTCAACTTAATATAGTTCCTCACAAACAGTTTGGTTCTATCACATGAATGTATTTTGGAATGAACTTTTCCTGCCAGAGAGGTCACTCAGCTCTCAGTCCAAACCATATGAAAAATATACCATGTTTTTTGGTAAGGTGAACAGAATATGTTGCTTTTACAAGATTCCTTCTGTTTGGGCTAACAAACAAAATTTATCATCCATGAAGGAAAGTTAAGTAGGTCTTCCCCAGCTTTAAGCAAATGGGTGAATAAGCAAACAAACAGTACAGCAAAATACACAAGCAAAAATTACAGAAAACGAGAGAAAAGGCTCCACACGGTAACACATGGACATAGCAAGACTAGCTTAGATTTGGTTTTCTTGATGCTTTGCTGTAATTTAGTCCTGTTTGAAACATGGTGTGTTCCTGTTCATACAGATAAGCGCTCCATTACTTACTTAGTAACACTACATGTGACGGAGCCTGTTTTGGCTTGATGCTGCTCATAAGATTTACTGATGGTTCCGGATTTAGTCTCTGTGAGACGTGCTCCTTGTCCTGGTTTACAGTGGATTAGTCCTGCGTTGGTTGATGTTGGTTTGTAGATGCAACAGTGAAATGCTCGAGGACAATTATGATTATATCTTTGCACAGATTCCTGCACAGAATATATTTTTAACCTTAACATGTTGCACACAATCTGAGTGATTCTATCCATGCCAAATGTGACATATACGTTTCTCCAGTGTGAGATCAATACAGTATATCTTGTCTTACCTATAATATATTCTAGGAATAATGTAAATTAGCAGGATATGGGCTGAAAGTAGTATATTACATATTCGTACATTCTATATTGGATATCATATACTCTTCATCAAACTTTATGACAGACTCGTGGTCCACAGGAAAGGACAAAAACATCATATAAAATAACACATTATCAGAACAATCAGCCTCATTCCTCAGAACAAACAGCTGCACCAATGTGCAGATCAGACTGGCACCGTGTGGCACAGAATGTGTCGTTTGTCAGGCTCATGCTTATAATGTTCATGTGTCATTGAGCAGACAGGTAAAACCAAACATCAGACATGAACTGTTCTTATTCCTGCAGACACACAGAGAGCTTGCACTTTCCAGTTTGTGAATAGTTGACTTTTTGTACTTTGTCCACAGGTGTGCTGTGTACAAAGTTGTACGGTATAATATTAATATGTTCTGTATAATACTGTAATCTAGTATTGTTCTGTGAATTTGATCTTAAAGTTAATTGAACTCTGCAGCCTGCAGCAATGCAGACAAAGTATGTACAGTATGTGAATGTAGTATTTGAATGTAGTATGTATATAAGAAGGGATTTGGATGCAGCTGTTGATCTCCAGAGCTCATTCTTGCAACACGAGGAAGTGCTTAATAGACAAGCAAGTACTGTACTGTAAAAGTAATCCAAATTTGCTAGTTATAAATTCATGGTGAAATATTTAACTGTGTAGGTCAGATTGAGTCCTGGTTTAGGTTTGTTCATTTATTCACAGAATATTTAAATGCTGTAGATGTGCTGCCCAGGTCTGTTTAGCAGCTGACTCACTTCCAGGTCATTGTCAGGGATAAACACACCTTATTCTCCCCAATGTGTCCATCTGCAGAGGTGATGACCGCCCAGGCCCTGTGCCATGCTCATTACACCTCCATGAAAGCTACACGTAAAGCACATTTGGCAGGATACAGAGAACAACATGACTTTGACTGAGCCTGAAGAGAAGTGAGAAATACATGGATATCAGAATCAGAATGATTTTTATTGCCACGTAAGTAACAGGAAGTCACAGACTTGGAAATTGCTTTGGCTCAGTGCAACAGTCAGAAAAAAAGAGAATAGATATATGTAATGGCGCTGACAATGTTGAAATCCAGGTTAAAAACAGTTTTGTTTAGTTGGGTATACAGCTGAGGGATTTTATCTTTACTCTTTTAAATGTACAGTGATTATTTATTTTATTATTTTATTATTTATGTTTACCCTTTAATGGTTTTCTCAACCTTTTGGTAGATCACCTTTTGAGTAAATACTGAAAGCTTGGAACTGAAATATATCTCTTTGGTGCATCTCACTGAGTTTTAGGCACTTTGACCATCAAACTACATCTCAACCATTTGGTAAAGGCCTATAGTATTACAAAAAATAGGGATAAAAAAAAAAAAAACCTTATTTGTGTCGTTAGTGTCCTAAAACTTAGAAAATCCACTAAAGAAAAAAAAATTGTGTCACTATTTAACCATTTTAAAAAATTTAAAGGGTTAAAGCCTTGTGTGATTGTCTCTTTCTTGTATTGTTCAGTTGCCTTGCGTATGAACTGCGCTATACAAATACATTTGCCTTGCCTTGCCATAGATATGAATAGATCAGAGATGTGTCGTCCTTTCATTGACACCTTTTGCGCCAAATTGCTTTTACTAAACAAAGGGTTGAAACATGGAAATCTATTCTGCATATTTGGAGAAGGAACCTCATCATTTCAACACAGAACAGAGATATTGGACAGCTGTTGGAATCTGTAATTACGGGCACAAAACAATGGTTATTTCCATTTGCACGTTTATAGGAGCTCTTTGTAGCTTTGCTTCAGAACAACATTCTGTTTTCTGCTATTGTATCCATTTGGGTGCAGGCTACAATCGCTGCAGGGCACTTATTGAGAAGCCAACGCTGTTTGCCTGCTTTCCGAAATTGAGTAATTGTGTGTTTGAGTTTGTAAGCTCTCTCCATATCTGAGAAGGAAACATAAATAAGCGGCAAAGGAGTTCCTCTTCAACAGCAAAGTGGATTTCTTTGGAAAACGTTGAAAAATGGTCATAACTTTTCATAAGTTTATCCAATAATGTACTCTTTAAACCAACCAACAAAGATACAATGTTGCTTTTTAGAATATTGATAGTGAACCTCCAGCGTTGGTACTCCCAGTCCTAGATCTGACAAGTAAGTAAGTAAATTTTATTATATAGCGCCATTCACAGACCAGAGCCACAAGCGCTTTACAATTGTGGGCATTTGTCACTCACTCCACACAGAAATGGGAGCGGGGTCGCCGGTACAAGAGGCACATGCCAGACCTATGGGACATGTTTTTAGTGGTAGGGGAAACCGGACCACCTGGAGGAAACCTACGCAGACACAGGGAGAACAGGCAAACTCCACTCAGAAAGACCTTGTTCCGACCGGGATTCGATTCGAACCCAGGACCTTTTTGCTGAGAAGCGAGAACCCTATCCACTCAGCCACCGTGCCGCCCAAAAAGATGAGCACAGGCACCAGTGCGGCAAACATTCTTATCTGGCAACAAACCACAATGCTCAAAATGCAAATACAAAACATTTTTGTTTCAGTTCGTAAACATACAGAGCAACGGCAGAGGGTAGATCTTTTCCTACAAATACGCTGACATGTGCATATGAAATTCTTGTTGTTATTTATTATATATTTTTTTAATAATAAGCAGCTTTTTTGATACATTTTGAGCTCTGTGATGATTCCCTGCTGTCGCCCCTAGCTTTACCTCAGCATGGGTCTGACTGTGTTGGTGCCTCCTACCCGCTCAGTGCTCGGAGGTGGAATTAGGCTGGCCATGGGAGACAAAGGGAGCGCTCTGTTTCCCTTCGCAAGCAAACACTTATCATCAGAGCAATGAATACAAATAACACCAGAGAGACCAGAGACCAGTCCCTTCTTTAATTAGCTAGCTTTGATCATAGGCAACCTCCACTGTGCCACGCTCCTTCCAGCCCGGACAGATCAATCGGACCAGACACGCACCATATAGCCAAAGAGTTCAGTTCTCCTAAAAGCTTTTTTCTTCTGAACTTGAAAAGACAAAAGCAGTTGTGGGCTCCTGCTTGCCTTTGAAAACAAAAGACTACGGGTGATTATCATGTCAAAACAAAATATGCACCGAGGATATGCTGACCAGCCAGGTTGAGCCAGTTTTAACGAAATATGAAAATGGCAGAGGTAAGCGAGGACATCTCATCATATCATGTGGAGTGGTTCATTACATAAATCACTCATCAGGAACTTTCCAACACTGCAAACTCAGTGAAGAGGACTTTACTGGACAAACAAACTATCAGTTGTTCTACATTGTTGACCTAATGGCTGGAACTCAAGCAGTGCTTCAACTGCAGTGTTTACATATCCTCATTGTTTTGTTAACTGTGTCCATAACCTTGTTATGGATTCCTCTATATGAGGTTGTCTTTCATTTCTCTTTCTATTATTTGCAGCAAAATGTTTTATTTCATAGTGCACACAAAAGAAAGGTTTACAGGATTTGTATAGTCAGGCCTCAGAATAGTTCATATATTCTAGTATCATATAAAGCAATTTAATATATTACAATATTATTCTAATGTTTGACTGTGGTCTAAAATAGATAGAGTTATGCACACTGAGAGTGTCTTTCATGATATGAGGTTGATAATGTTGTGTGCACTTCTGCAGGTGAGTTATCGGGCCAAACAGAGCATGACTCATCGGGCCTTGATCAAGATGGTGGCAGTTTGGGTGCTGGCCTTTGTCCTCTATGGTCCTGCTATAATCGTGTGGGAGCTGGTGGTGGGCAGGAGCCGTGTGCCCAAAGACGAGTGTTTCGCTGATTTTTATTACTCCTGGTACTTCCTGCTGAGCGCCTCTATGCTGGAGTTCTTCTCTCCTTTCATCTCAGTAGCTTTCTTCAACCTGAGCATCTACCTGAGCATACGCAGGAGGAGGCTGCGCTGCAGGACCACCCCGCTCCACCTGCACATGAGTGAGCCAGCCTCAGCTCAGGGAGAGAGCCTACCGCTGTCTCAGACCTGGGGGACCAAACTGGCAGTGAGGGGCTCCATACACTCTCAGAGCTCTTCTCCAAGTTTGGGTAAAATGGACTCCTCCACCAGCAGGACACTTCATCCCAACCGTCTGTCCAGAGATAAGAAAATTGCCAAGTCTCTTGCCGTCATCGTGTGTGTGTTTGCCATCTGCTGGGCTCCGTACACTCTCCTGATGATTATCCGAGCCGCCTGTAAGGGGCGCTGCATCCCACATCACTGGTACGAGGTTACCTTCTGGCTACTGTGGCTCAACTCTGCCATTAACCCCTTTCTGTACCCACTCTGCCACAGCAGCTTCCGCAGGGCCTTTGGCAAGATCCTGTGCCCCAAACGATACGCCTCTCCCTCCTCATCGGGCATGCGCTCTGCCCCATGAAAACTCAGCCTCCAGAGGCATAAGGAGCGGGGATAGAACGCTACATGAACATACATTCATTGTCTGAAATTATGTTTCTTGTTTGGTTTATATCTATTTGGAGGACCATCCATCACGTTGATGCAGAGCGACAGAGCCACAGGCTGTGGTGTGAGGATCCCAATGAAACTTTGTACCACACTGACAAAAGTGTTGCTCCTTCCCAGTACACATACAGTACAAATGTGTTTTGGTTCTTTTGAAAGAACCAATAACTCGTGATAACTCAAAAGGATTAATGGTGAATGTCAGTTACTTTTTAAATTGTGAAGAGAGATAAACCATTAGCTGTCCAGCTGTCCAGTAAGCTTTCTGATTCAAATCCATGCCATTGGTCGAACTGTTCTCCTCCAGCAAATTGTATTGGTCATGTTTTTTTCCATGAGGAGGGGCTAATTGAAATGCATTCGAAAAATACAAAAAAGCAAAGGGTCTTATGATCATAAATATGCATTCATTAAAAATGAAATACCATTGAAGGTAGTTGAAGCACCTTCAAGCTTAAAAAAAAAACATAAAGTACATACTGTTTCTGACTTTGAACTTTTTTGCAAACCACTGTCTCCCTCTGCTGGTCAAAAATCACAGTAATTATTTACAGTCTATGGTAACAGTACATGGATTAATGTAATCGTAAATGAATGTATTACACTTAATCAATGTAAGCCCTCACAAACACATAAATAGGTTATGTATGTACTATGTATATACAATGCATGTATGTACTATAATTATTTATTACAGTATTTTGTGTGATTTTATACATTATTATTATCAATATTATGACAGTTTACAATTGCATCATTATATATTTTCAAACAACATGTGATTATCAGTTCTTGCTCTAAATTATCTTATTGATTTGTTTTCTAATTGTGCAGAACTGACCGCGTCACCTGTGAACAGTCGGTGTATGTCTGTGAACGTGCCACTAGATGTCACCATTACTCTTCCCCCCCTTTTCTGTCTGAACATCATTGAGCAATAAGCTCTTGAGTTGTTTCCAAGTCAGCCCTGTTTACAGAATAAAACAGTCCACTTCTTCTTCCCACCATCACCTGGAACCTGTCACAGACTTTGATCTATACCAGCAATATCTTAAAAGTTTCTAAGTTTGGACTCCAACCGACATCAATGGGCAAACTGTATACACTGTGATGCCTCTGTGGACATATTAATAATTGCTCAATGTTAATGAAGTATTGGAATATAGGTCAAAAGTTGTCTCCAGGCAAACATTTGATAATAAACACACAGACTGCAACATAAATAGAAAAAGGCTGCGGTGTTGTGAATGGCTGCACGTGCGCTTGTACCTGATGGCTAATTGGGTCAGTGCCAAGAGCTGGGTGCCTTTTGTCTGATGCCTAGTCAAAGTGCTGAGAACGCAATACCACTTTAGCATTGCAAACTTGTGAGCTCTTTGTTATTCTTCATTTTATAAAATATATATATACAGATAATGAGTGCTTTCCAGATGTCGGCTTATTAGACCTGTAATTACGCCATCATGTTGGATAGTGGGGTTATATTTGCAGGTGCCTCAGTCCCGAGGGAGGACCTGCGTTTCTCAGATTGTTGCTTTTGCCCAGGCTCCGTGCACATCTGGGGCCCGCGGTCAGGTGCTGCGAATAAGGCCACAGCTGCGGGAGGGGACGGAGGGGGCTATATGGACACAACGACCCCAACCCCCCGCATGTAGCGTGGGCTGGGCTGGGGGGGGGCTTCTGACCGGAGGGATGCAAACACATTTCCCCCGAGAATCACAAAAGTGCATTTATCAGCAGAACGTCCAGCCGGGTCTGCTTGCTCTCTGTAGGCTCATATATATATTTTAAAAAACAAGCAACCACAATAGAAAGGAGGTGTCTTTTACATCAGGAGCAGTGGCCCCATTGCTATTGATTTGCCTGATCCATAGACAATGAGCTGGTGTACCTTACTTTATTATTCATATTTCCATTACAGAAAGAGTTTTTGTAACTTTAATTTTTTGTGTGCGAAAAAACATACCAAAAACACACCGTATTCATCGTATTTGAAAAAAGACAGAGGCTAGAAAATACATGCAAGTGGAAGCTAGTGAAAGAACCAAACTGTTGTCAAATGTTTTAAGGGTTGAAAAGTTAGGTACCTCAGCTTTAAATCTGGCTTTTCTAAATCTGTCACCCAAGTACTATTATCTCAATAGATAGATAGATAAATAACTATCCATTTATTAGTTTATTTGAATAGGGACAATATACACATTAATCAACATTTCTGTAAACGTGTCAATATTAGCTATACAGCTATTTCCAAATGTAGTCCCGAGACACGGTGTAAAATGCCAACATAACAAATATTTAGTTAAACATAAAAAATTACAACAGGTCATTAAAACATGGAAAAAAACACACAATAGCATACTACAAATCATAACCAAATTTTAACGTGCGTTTCAAAGTCCTGAGTGTGGTGCTCTTTTGTATATGGACTGGACAGGTATCATATTCCAGAACTGAATGGATTGTTAGTTAGATAGATAGATAGATACAGTAGATGGATAGAGATAGCTAGATAGACAGATATCTTTATTAATCCCATGTGGGGACAGTCTGTGGAGAAATGCCTTTTGTTGTTGTTGTGTTGTTGTTGTGACTGAGTATGTGTTTACAGGGGACGGCTGGAGCGATGCGTCTGGAACGTGTCGCCTTACTGAGTGCACCTGTGCCTCTTAACTTTATAGAGGCCCATTAGCAGAAGACAGAGTGATCGCAGGGGGTAGAGGGCTTACGACTTGTGCTTAAGAAAAGAGGGATTTAAAAGTCTCCTCTCGCACTCTAGCACTGGGTTAGTTTGAAAGAATGGAAATTGTTCTACAGTAAGTCATGGTCAGTGAAATCAATACATTTGGTAACACTAATAAATATCCTTTTAGGTCTTTAATCAAAGCAACGATTATATTATATATTTAGGAAGAACACTTCAGGACTGTGCTCTAAGAATAGTAATAATTATAACAACAATTATAATAATGATAAATATAATGGTAGTAATAGGCTACAACTTGCTTAACCTTAAAGTTTTTTTTACTTTTAACATTACACAGCATCAAACCCTGGAGTCGTTTTGTGAGATGCATTCACGCTAGTATCAGGAACTCCCGGCACGTCTGCTCCTTCGGTCCAAATGCTGCTGTAATAAAATAAGGGGTTAACTACAACATTAGTGAATCATGCTCATGGTGCCTCCTTTTAAGACTGTTGTGTCTGAATTAGTTGTTTGCAAATTATCAGGTGAAATCAAATGGGTGTAGTTGCAGCCGGTAATTTTCTAATTTTGGAAAAATCACACAAAAAACAAATGCATATTCAATTCCTCCCTCTAGTGGCAGCATAAGTAGTTATCGGTGGATAGCTTTTTTACTTAATGCCGTACATTTTCTACTTCACTTATTATTTCACATTTAAAAAACATGAAATTATTAACTAAGGAAACTAAAAACTACTAACTTTTTTGCTCTAACTCAAAACAATGCGTTATATTTCTTCTTTAAAAGTACAATTGTAGTTTAATTCTGTAATGGCATAATAAAATCATTACAATTAAAACGTAAAGCTTTGTTGCCACTATCTCTAAATGTAACACACATGTTTATCCTAAAGGCTCGTTTATGCTCTATGTTTAAGACACATGTGGCTGAATCTATCTGTCACACTTTTTTGTCTGTAATAATCAAAGTTACTCAAAAAATCTGCAGTTTCTTTGCAAAGAAGCTGTACATAAAACAGACCACTGGGGGCAGCACTGAACAAAGGCACTACACGTGTTTAAAAGCCTATAACAGTGTCTCCCAAAGTGGGGTCCGCGGCCCCCTGGTGGGCCGCGAGGGTACTGCAGGGGGGCCGCGGGAGGTCATAAAAAAATAAAAAAATAATAATTATTTAATGTTATAATTATTTAATAATGTTTTGTTTGTAATATTAAAATATTTGTGTTCATTATTTGACTTGAATAATCCACTGTAATCATTTTTGTATTACAATGTTTGTAGCAGAGGCTATTTCCCCAAAATAAAATAACCAGAAGAGCCTATTCTTAATGCTGTCTTCTTGGTTATTATTTTGGGGGGCCACGCAGACCCGTCAGACTTTTAAGGGGGCCTCGGTGTTACTGAGTTTGGGAATGGCTGGCCTATAAAACAAAAAGTCCAACAACTGATATTATTTTATATTTTCCAACACATAATAATCAAAACTGTTGTGATAGTCACGGATAAAACCAGGAAGGACCCAAAAGCAGAAATGAAAAAATAATAGGATTTAACTAATGCCACGACAAAATACATCCAAAAGTAAAAACTGAAACCAGGGACAAGACATGGACGACAAACCACAACAATGGACCAACAACAAGAGGACAAGACAACAGGGTCTAAATACACACAGAGATAGACACAATAGGGCAGGGACAAACAATCCACAGGACGGACAGGAAGTAAAACTCAAAGGCGTTACAATCATAAATTATCGCCATAAATTAAAAAGAGTGGAGGTAAAAATCCCCCAGTTGCATGCACAGCTAAACAGAACTATTTTTAATCTAGATTTATATATTGCCAGGGAAGAAGCCTGTCTCACATTTTCAGGAAGACTGTTCTGTATTTTAGCTGCATGAATTGGAAATGCTGCCTAAGGTTTTAAGTTGACTTTTGTGGACTTCAGAAGATCATTCAAAAGCCTGAGAGCCACAGAATCGATCTCCTCTGGTCCAAAAGCGAGTGCGCACAACCGTGATCATATTCTGATCCACAAACCAGTCCGAGCTGGCGTTCTCATTACAAAATCTATACTACTTTGAAGAAGATATATTCATTTTGATTTTTTGCCTTTAAAAATGATGACGAGACTTTTCCCATCTTTAAGAATGTGAAATATCTTCCATAGAAAATACACGGTGAAACAAACATGGGTGAATAA